TGATGGTTACTTTAATGAACTGGTCATTAAAAGAAAGTGGTATGAAAGTGAACGCAAGTAAGACGAAAGTGATGGTTTTTGAAAGAGAAGAAAGTAAAACGTTATGAGAAATAAGAATAGAAGGGGAGTTGATTGAGCAAGTGGATGAGTTTGTATATTTGGGATGTTTATTAAGCAGGGATGGTAGAAATGATAAGGATATAGAACGACGAGTGAACGCAGGAAATAGAGTTAATGGGGCTCTACACGCTATTATGAAGAGTCAGAATGTGTCAAAGAAGGCACGTATGGCAATTCATAATGCTGTGTTAGTCCCTACTATGGTAGTGATAGTTGGGTGGTGGCAGAAGAAGCATGAGAGTAAAATAAAGGCTGTAGAAATGCGGTCATTAAGGAGTATGCTAGGGCTGAATCTGAATGACAGGGTGAGAAATAGTGTGATAAGAGAAAAGAGTGGTTTGCAAGATGACGTTGTGACCAGGATTAAAAAAGGAATGCTTTGGTGGTTTGGTCACGTAGGAAGAATGAATGAGGAAAGAGTGACAAAGCAAATTTATGTTTCAGAAGTGAACGGCAAAGTCGGGAAGGGACGCCCTAGGCGAAGATTTATCAACCAAATCGGCGATACATTGAAAATGGGTCAGATTAGGAGTACCGATGAGCGTGTATGCGTAGATATATGGATGTAAAGGAGACGAGAGAGGCGTGTTAGGATCGCCACAAATGGAAGTCCGTAGTCTCTACCTACCCCTCTGGGTGACAGGCGTGAGTGTTTGTGTGTGTATTTCTGTGGAAACAATCGTAGGTATGACCCTTGATTACAATGTCAGCGTGTTTTTGTCGATTGTATGGCGAAGATATTAACATAAATTTAGTTTTGCTTATATTAATTATAATACTGTTGCGCGCCACAATTAATACCACTAGTGCCCTCTAGTATCGAGTAGCAGAACTAGGAGAGTCAACAACCTTCTAGAAATTTCCTTAGAAGAAATTTCTGGAACTATCGACACCTAGTCAATCGGGACTGATATGTACTCGAACATTCTAGATGTTTCTACAGTAGAAGGTTCTGGAAACTATCTGAGGCCATATATAAGACCGGTATAGACCGCGACCGAGGCAGTATTGAATATGCAAGATAAGCGAATACATCGAAGCGAAACAACTGCGAACTAAAGTGATCAATAGTACAATTGTGTTTTATTATTAGTGTGCTTTAAGATGTAATTAGTGCTCTGTAATTAAAGTGTCAATTTATGTAATTCACTCTGCAGTTTTTAATTGTCTCGAACCCCAAGCTCGTAACAATACCATTATCATGCGCCCATTTAACAATGTTGTCTAATTATTTTTGCATAAATATTTGTATCGTCTTTGGATCTTTGTCAGAGTACATTAGGTAAGTGTCATGGGCATACATATACATTTGATTTGCTCATTCCATTTACATGAATAACGTACCCTACTAGACCGAATACTGAGCCGGTTGGAACTTCATATTTCATTTTACCAAGGTTACTACTAGTATCGCTAATGCGGACTCCTAACGTTCTGTCCTTTAAAAGTTGCGGAACCATACGTTTGTGGGTCCTCTAATACTGCACTCTTCCATAGACTGCAACAGGCCATCGTGGTCCAGTGTGTCAAAAGCTTTTTTAAAATCGATAAAAAATAACACCTACTAGATTTTGGTCATTAAGAGCGTTGTTCACGTCGTCTATTAATTTAGTTAAAGCCATGTCTGTGCTACTTTTTAGCTTAAATCCGTATTGTAAATCTGTAATAACATCATTATTTTCTAAAAATTCTGAAATTTGTTTAATTACAATTTGATGGGAATAATGATCGCTATGATAGGAATAATGACTTTCTTAATAAATTTTAAATCCTGTGCTCTAATTCGATCTGACTTCGATGACTTTGTAACGAACCCCCCCCCCCTTTTTTTTCTATATATACTTATATTTATATTTCTTTAGAATCTATATCTATAAGATATATAAATATATCTAATTTACGTGACCAGTATATTAATCATACATTGATCTTTCTAAAGGTTTAAACATAGGCCGTTTAATAAATTTATGGCGTGATCGTCTTAGTTAGGACCCTTATTTACGTTGTGTTTGTATATTAACTTAATGGTGGTATTTTAGGTGTATCTTGGAAGAATGAATATTCACGAGAGCAATCGAAAGCTGTTGGTAGCGTCTTATAAGCTAAAGAACCCCGTTCACGAAGACAGAGCTCAAAAAGGTTAAGAACAATAAATTGTCCCTATTCCACTTGTATCTGGTTCACAACAGTCAATTCCTTATTAATTAATCCCTTCCCGCTTGGAAAAGGCTCACAATATTTATATCAAATACCAGATACAAGGGCTTCGCTCTCCCACATTTAAAAAAAAATGTGGAGGAGGTACACGGCTCCGCACATGCCGTGCACGGTGAGCGCCAACCATTTTAATGCGCTCCCCCCGAAGGGCACGCTAAGTTGGATACCAGTACTGAGGAAGATCCTGAGATAGAGCAGCGCAAGTATAAGCCGTACTTTGTATCTGACTACAACAGAAGGTACCCTGAGGACTCTGTCCTCGTTGATTTTGTTGTCTTTGTCGAATCAAATGATGAAAGAAGACCAATCGGCACGCGGGACATGATGTCTCTGTCCACACCACATATGAAGAGGTTCAATAAAGGCATTAAATATTTGCAATCTATGAATAAATACAAAATAGGCGTTCATTTTGAAAAGCCCTCTCTAGCGAATGCATTTTTAAATAATATTACATTTCTTAATGAATACAAAATGAAAGCATCTATCCCAGCTGTAGGGACAGAAATAACAGGAGTCATAACTAATGTTCCCACTAATCTTTCTAATTCAAGAATTTTTGGCATGTTAACGACTGACAGGAAGATAATATGTGTTAAAAGGATAATGAGGAAACATAAGAATGACGCAGGACGCAGTTTGCTGCAGCCGACGGGCACCGTGGCCATCACGTTCGCTTCTAATGTTTTGCCGGACCACGTCGATTTTCATTGTTGGCAGTTCGTGGTAAATCAGTATATTCCACCAGTAAAGCAGTGCTACAACTGTCTGAGGTATGGCCACTTAGCAAAGTACTGTAAAAATTCTGTGAAATGCTCAATTTGTACTAAAAATCACAGCTACAAAGATTGTCAAATTTCTTCAGATAAAGCGATATGCATACATTGCAAAGGAAACCATCTAAGCATTTCTGGACAGTGTCCTGTTAAGAAACAAAAGATAAAAGAAAATCAGACTAAATTACACAAAACCCCGTTTGTAGACCTTTTTAATAAAAACGAATTCCCCGAATTAAACAAAAAAAAATCCTAAAGATGCTCTTATGTCATTGCTAAATAATGATGACATTATTAATATAATTTTAAATACAGTCATTAAAGTATTAACTCTTAATAAATCAAATGAACAAACCACCATATCTTCTCAGCTTATTAAAGCTGTTCTCATAGATACAATGAAACTAAATTAGATATTTCATTATTTAACATTTAATATTTTATGGATCAGTTTAACATTTTGCAATTTACACAATTTTTATATAAGAACACCATAGATGTTACTCTCATATGTGAAACTTGGCTTAAACCTGGGCACAATTTTAGAGTAAAAGGTTATAATATTATACGATTAGATTCAGATAATGATCATAATGGAGTAGCAATACTTCTCCATAACAAAATTGGATTTCTTGTTATCAATACATTCTCTGATGACTCATTACAAAATATAGCTGTACAAATACAATACAATGATAAATTATTAACTTTAGTTAGTGTTTACTGTCCCCCTAATTCATCAATTAATTATAATAAATCCAAATTAGATAATTTAATTCAAAGTTTGCCACAGCCAGTCTTTATAGCTGGTGATTTCAACGCCCATCACATGTTATGGGGATGTACTGAATTAGATTCACGAGGTAGGGACGTTCTTGCAAGTATAGATGACAACAATCTTGTAATCTTGAATAATGGTCAGATGACTACAGTAGGATCTCATAGATGGAGGCAGAATGCATTAGACTTGACACTTGTTTCAAAATTCACAAGAAACAGCTGTATCAAATAACATAAACTTAAAATTGGTAGATTGGTCAAAATATTCAAAGGAGATGTTCCAGAAATGTATGGAGCCTGGGCTAGCACTATGTACACTATATGTAAATATCGCTGTATAATATAGTAACCGTTTTTTATTGTTAGTTTTCTTTAATTTCACTTCGTTTCAATGTACATTCAAATTAACTTAGTCAAGGAGAGCAACACAACATTAAATTAAACATGGTGGATCACACAGAGAAAACCATAGACTTAGTATAGAAAACACGAAAAATGTCATTTTGACATTAACATTTGATTGACGTGTATTGTAATATCAACAATAAAAAAACAACACGAATTTCGAAAATCTTGGATACGATAAACTTACAGGATATTCAACTCGATTGCGGCAGCACATCTTATATCACCTATTAGATTAGTTAGAGATTGGTTATATCGAAATGAAAAGAAGGCTTGAAAGTTATTTTGCATAGTTATTTTGTTTATTAACACTTTCCTGCTGCTTCATTCTTTAGTGCCTATCAATATATTCTGGACTTCGATAATTCTTAGGCGAGCAGTGAGCTGTGCGGTATCTGACAACTGCAAGTTATTGTTAAAGTAGTTAACTATTCTTATTACACAGTAACAGCTGAGAAGATACCAACTATTTTAGTTCAATTAGGCAGGAGCAGCATAATCAGCCTATAATGTTCCCACTGCTGGGACATATACTTCCTTTCTGTGAGGGATTGGACTGTGTAATCCACCACGCCAGCCCACTGTCCCAACTTAACACTATCAATCTTTCAAACAAGTTCTATGTTATATAATTCCTAGTATTAGCGACATCAAAAAGATGAGAAATCAGTCATGAGAGGTATATAAATAAAACAAATTGTTGGAACTTATGATTTTATTCGTTTTCCACATCATCCCCTATTAATATTCCATCCAGGAATGACACCGGTGCTTCTATGCTCTCTTGGTACTGAGCCCAACCCAAATACCACGCAGTGGTCATGACGTCAGCACAGCAACCCATTGTCCAATGTCCGGAGATACAATTACAATAATAGCTAATTATTTTATCATCCCCACTTGATCCTTCCCTTGCCAGCAATATGTAGGTATAATATGTTCGTCCTGAGCTATGTCGAGTTTTTATACAGGCTTTTATTAAAAAAGGATCAAGTTGGGATGGGGATGCTTCTGCTACTACTTCCAGTTGGTCCTATACTTCTACCTGAAATGATCCATGCTGCCTAATATGTTCCCCAAAATAGCTTCTAGCCTGTTTTATCTGATAGGTACCCAGCCCAAAAAGTATCAATTCAGACATAGTCATTTTAGGGAAAATACTTAACTCTGAAAGTTGACCATCAATTCTTGTGAATTGGGCTCTAAAGCGGTTGATCCGGCTAGCAATTATAAATTCTGCTAACCGGTTGAGCATATTTTCACTCTGTATTGCTCAAGTATAGCTACAGCATTTGGTCTATTTTCAATCACTGGATGGAAGGCATTAATTATAACATTGTCCATCAAATGGGTGGCAGCCAAATCAAAATATTCATGTCCCAGTTGCTTAAAGTCTCTTTTAAATCGACCATTAACTACCTCTACCACCCATCTGCATAGTGTCACACACCTTGTCTTGTTCGTATTGATGGTCGATAACTGAGTCTCTCCTTGTTCTAAGGATTCATGTTTAAATACTTTGAAGCCCAACCCCTCTAGCATTGGAATGGAATCACGAAAGCCTCGATACAAAATGAAAACATCATTGGGCTGAAAAAAAAAGCCCTTAGACCCTCATTTTCATTTTGGAACAAAGCTTTCATGATGTCATAATCTGATTTGGTTGTTGGATAGGGCCCCAAAATATCAATAATGTAACCATCAGTGGCAACAATGAGAAAAGGTTTAACAAGGTTTCTATATTTGTGCAAGCTATAAGTTTGTTTTTGAAACAAGTAGTTGGATGATGTTTGAAGATATATAGGTACCATCACATATTATTATTGGTACTCTTGCCTCTCTGTTTCCAAACAAGCCCTCGGGTATTAATAAATTCCTATTAATTAAATCATTTATTGTGTGATTGATTATATATTATAAAAATAATAATCAAATATATATAATTTTTCTTAAGTATTCCGGCACTCTATTTCGTTCTACATTGTTACAAGCCGGCACTAAACAATGAGCACTTGTCTGCGTTGTGTGTGTAAAACCATCAAGTGTTATTGATGCACTTGGTGGCTGCATATCAATTTGTTGCACAACTTCTTGCTCTATTCCTATATTTTCCTGTGCACGTGTCCAACAGTTGGAACAAATAAGCACATATTCTGGTAACTGAAACAATACAAGAAACAATTTATTTATAGGGGCAACAGATAAGGTTACTTATAGTTGAATGTACAGTAACATTACTTGTGTATGGTGGTTTGGTAAATTAAAATAATCTAACCTGATTTGGGTAAATTCTTGCTGCAAGTTTATCTCTTACAGGACCACGAGCAATGTGTTTTAGCTTTCGGTGTAGAGACATTCTACACCATGCATACATTAGTCTTGGTGAAGGCTAGATGGGGTTGGAGTTTGCCGATCATCCTCAATCCTTATAGCATGCTCCACATTTTTACATGTTGCTACCCAACAAGCATAGAAAACCAGTCCTCCTGGTGGAATCTGAATAAAAGAAAAGAATACAATATGTATTGGCTATTCACACAATTATTTAATTCCAACACTAGGTAATTAAGTAAGTTGTTAATGTTACCTCTCTTGGATATATTATTTCTGTTATTATGGTCCGCTCAGGTCCTTCATGTATGGAGTGGCTGTGTGTATGGGCAAGAGACCATCGGCACCATACACATACATTCATATTCATAACAACAGTAGAAGCTGCTATGATTCCTTGTTGTTGTATTGTACGCCAGGTATGTACCCAACAAGCAAAACATATTAAAGCACCTTCAGGTATCTAAAACAAAAAATGTAGATAAAAAATGACTTTCAATAAGTATTATGTAATAATCAATATTGAATAAAAAATCATTCTATTATATTCTATGAAATTAAGATTTATTTATTTATATCACAATATTTCTAAATAATTTAAATTAATCAAGATTTAGTTATTTCAATATCACTTTTATAGACTCATCCGAGGTGATGTTATATATAAATCACATGTCTACACACATTTCCAAAAATTAAATTGTGACTGTTCTTTTTCTTCTTGAAACGAAGTCTTTGACTATAATTAAGAAACATCTACATTTGTATACCTTTGTATGAATAAAAAACAAAACAAAAGGGGTGCTTACCTCTCTTGGAGTAATTGTTTCAGCAATATATTGCCTTTCGGCCAATATCCAATAACAGAACATATATTATAACCCTAAAGAATAAAATAAAGAAAGACTCAAAGACGTCTAGTCACTTCTTACAACTGTCAAAGTCGTCAAACGTCATATCTATTATCTAACACAACTGTCATGGCTGCCCTTAAAATAGGGTTATCATAACAAAAATATTTTTAAATGATCATTTTTGTACGACTATACCCTTTTTCAAATTAATTTGTTAGTATTTTTATGAAATTCCTCAATTTTTTTCCTATTTATCTATGTAGTGTACATAGTGGTAGCCCAAAATCGAACATCTCCTTTAATAGATAATTTAATTAAAAATCATAGTTTTGATTATAGTAATCCTTTATAATGTTATACAGACTTAATAGAACTAGTTAAACAAGCCATGCATGAGTCCACACCATCCAATCAGTCTTCTAATCGAAATGTTAACATCAAATTGCAATCTTTTAAAAGAATTAAGAAATAAAATTCTCTACCTTGGTGGAATTTAAAATGCAAAGAGGCATTATTAAATTGTAAAAATGCATATTTAGTATTTAAGAATGATCCCACACAACGAAATTATATTAATTTTAAAAGACTACAAGCTGTTAAAAAAATTACTTTGAAGACTGAAAGACAGCTTAGCTGGAAAAAACTATGTGAAACTTTTAATAGATCTACTCCATTGACTAGAGTATGGAATTACATCAAAAAGTTTAACAAAACTTTACATCTGTCATAGATTCTAATTGGGCTAATGAATTTTTGAAAAAATATACTACAGAAACAGATGAAACACCTCTAACCCTTCACTCCTCAAATGATAATCTTTGTGATTATCTATCTTACCAAACCTTTTACCTTGACCGAATTCAATTCAGCTGTTATTTAGTATATTCTTTGACATTGTTGGTGCATTTAGTTGGTGTGGTGGAAATTTAAAGAAAATAATTTGGAAGTAAAATTTTTATGGACTCCGTCACATATTGGGGTTCAAGGAAATGAAAAAGCAGACCATTTAGCTAAAAGCATAGTTACAGCTGATATTGACAGGATAACCGATGTTGCAATACCATATACAGATTTATATTCAATTCTAAAGCAAAAGTTAAAAGAAGAATGGAAAATGCAATGGAATATATTCAATTCTAAAGCAACACTTAAAAGAAAAATGGAAAATGCAATGGAATGATGTTTTAGAGACAGGAAAAGGTCGTTGGTATGCATCAATTAATTCAGAATTAAGTATTCCTTGGTTTTCTCGCAACGGGAGATATCATAGCAGAAAATTTTATACAATAATGTGCAGACTTAGATTTGGCCACTATCGACTGAACGCTCATCTTTCCAGGATGAGAATAGTAGCATCTGCAACATGCAATTTCTGCGATACAGAAGCAGATCAGACTGCAGAACATATTGTTACGAGCTTGGGGTTCGAGACAATTAAAAACTGCCGATTGAATTACCAAAATTGACACTTTAATTACACAACACTAATAATAAAACACAGTTCGCCGTTATTTCGCTTCGAAGTATTCTCTTGTATCGCCAATTCAATACTGCCCCGGTCGTGGTCTATACCGGTCTTATATAGGGCTACAGATAGTTTCCAGAACCTTCTACTGTAGCGACATCTAGAATGTTCGAGTACATATCGGTCCCGAAATTTCTGGAAGGATCTCGACTCTCCTAGTTCTGCTACTCGACACTAGAGGGCGCTAGTGTGACTAGTGTTGCCATGTACAAGACATTAATAGTGGCGCGCAATACTTTCATTTACTCGACACTAGGGGGCGCTAGTGTAACTAGTGTTGCCATGTACAAGACATTAATAGTGGCGCGTAACAATATAATATTTAACTGCCCAGCGTACGCCATAGAAAGATTGCTACTCATTGAAAAACTTATACCAGTTTATGAAAACTCAGAAAACGTCCCGCGTGCCCTGCAAGGTGTTCTTAGGAATACTAAGACATATTTAGCACTTTGCAATTTTATTCATAATACTGTAAAAGAAATATGAAATATGGTATCCCTGTTTATGAAAATATTGGATTAACAAATCTACACGGTTTGAAAGTTACAAAGATTATAATATAAAGAAGACTTGGCTTTAGCTTTTACGGGTTTTTGAAAATATAAAGAATTAAAGAAAATAAGACTTGACTACGGCCTTTATGGATTTTGAAGAAATGGAAATAAGAAAAATAAGACTTGGTTCCGGCCTTTACACTTTAAAATTCAATATATTCAAATTAAAAAAGACAAGGCTGTATGGCTTAGTTCCTTTGCCTGCTCTCTCGAGCGAACAATAAAAACAACAACAATCATTGTCAGTGTCAGCAGTGGGTTTTATTTAGGAAATATTACGGATAATCTATAATAAAATTTTATTGTTTTACATATGAAAAGCTGTTGGAAATTTAACTATTACAAAGTATAGGGCTACATCCAAAGGCAATTTCTAATATATTTTAAATACTGGAAAAGCAACAATGACAGAAGTTTTACCTGTTGAAGATGGTATACAAAATCGTGTGGAAACTATATTGAGCGGCTTTCAAATGTATCCTTTTTCGTTGTGCCAACGTATTAATAAAATTAACAGACGCCATTTACGTTGTCTTAAGGGTACTGAAAATTTGTATCGCATCGTTTCTTATTTTATTAAACAATTTTCAATGTGCACAAATGCGACGTGTTAAAGTTGTATATATACGTTACGAAACATCAGCGATGCGTTCTAGGGAGCAGTTTGTGCATGTATATCATGTGCAGATTATCAAATCGCAGGCAACTAATTTCACCTCGGGTTTTTGGGTTGAGCTATGCTTTTTTATTTTAATTATAGAAATTTATTTATTTCAAAACTATTGTTTTAATGTCCGTGGTTAAAACTTAAACAAAATGTGTTAAATATGAATTTCGCTATGTGGATCCTCTTTATTTAAATTAATAATTTAATTAGGCTGATGCATATTTCAATTAAACATGTAAAAATTGCCACTATTTCCTACATGCCATTATCATTTTATATAATTTAAAGGGACTCTGTATAAGTCAGCTATGAGTAATGCTTAAAATGTAAGCTTTTCCAAAGAATCCATTTAAAATTAACAATTTTTATTTAATCTGCTTGTTTGAACTCTTACTAAAGTTGTAATTTATACTAGTGATAAAAGTTGAGGCCTTGCTTCAGAACGATGGTATTGTTAAGTATAAAATAATGTAACTTAATTACGTATAACATTTAAAGACCAAAATCACAAGCGTAATCAGAATGACTTTTCTTTAGAATGTCTATAACTTCCACTATTTATATATCAGGGAAGTTCAATATTAGTACACTTGCCTCTGTGTTATCATTGCTATATTATGTAACTTTTATCTATCTGTTTCTATCAAATTTCCTATTGTTTTTTAGTTAGCAATAAATACATTATAATATTCCTCATTTAAAATCCCAATTAATCTTAAAACTTAATTGCAAGAGCGTGTGGGAGTGATCTACTCTTAATATGCTGCTATGTGACAATTTTACAATATAAAATTCTTAGTATGTTTCAATTTAGACATTGAATAAATAAAAAAGGCATGTTTTGAAAACTAGATATATTAAATTATGAAGTCAGCATATTTTTTATTAATTTGTTTAGTTATATTTACAAAAAATGTTGTTAAAAATGATTACTACAGCTGTCAGATAGTCTGAGCATTTGTTTGTCTTTATGTTTCAGAAAAATATATGCAATGGAATGAAATAAATTTTTCTGAATAAGTTGTTATCAGAGTCATAGAAAGATATATATCTTTTCATCAAAATTAAGTGAAACTGATGAAAAAAATAAAAACTCATGAGGCGTGCACTTTTGTGTTTTCCTTTTCTTTTTCAAAAACTACATATTTTTGCGTAAAAAGCCACAGGTGTGCATCAGAGCACTATTGTACATCAATTAAGAGCACCAATATAATAATGCCACAGGATACTTAAGCCACCTGTTACTTCCTTGTATATTATTTTGTTTGTTTTTTACTAGATAGTGATGAAGCCTAAAAGTCGGTTATGTATGATTCTCAAATTATCTATGTAAATAAAATGATAGAGGTTTGCAGTTGTGCATGCATCATGGAAGAACTATTGGATAGATTTCAATTAGGTTTTCTAAGTTTGATTTCTGAGACACTTGGCCCTTATCAAAAAAAAATTGCAATATCTTCAATTAATATAAAGTTAATTAATAGAATCATGTGTTACTTTGCGGAAGTCCATTATATTAAAGTTATTAAAGTTTTGGGAAACAACAATTTTTATATGGGGTTTTTCAAATGGTCAAATGTATGTTGCTTGCTCTCGTGTTACTAAACCAGATAATTTATATAATATTTTAGCTACAAACGAATAACATTGATTACAAAGAAATTTTGTAAGCAAGGTATATTTTTGCTTGCGATCTTTTTTTAATTGTATATTGATTAAATAATTGCAGTAGCAGTATGGTTCCTTGATTTTTATTAATAATTTATGAGTACCACATATTACATCTTGCAAAATAATTATAAAAGTAGTGTATCTATCTAGTAAAACTTTATTCTACTATTACAAGTTAAACAAACTTATGAATTATATCTTTGTAAAATTTAAATTATAAGAAATGACTTACATCTGGTATTTAAATTAGAAATTGGATGAACCTTCGCGATGCAGATACAGGTAAGATTTTTTTAAATTACTTATATTTTTTCTATGTGTTTTTAAAATACTTTCCATGGTTTGTTAGATGAGTTTCATATGTAGCTTTTATTTCCAAGTCTCTTCCATTTTTTAATGCTTTGATCCAATAATTGTTGGGCTGCAAATTGTTATGAAAGTAGCTTGTGAACCTATATATAAATTTAGTAAAATTACTTTATTTGTTAGTAAATAGGTACAAAATATTTTGTTCTTGGTGTTATTACAATATAAGAGTTAGGTAAGTTGTGAAAAGATATTCAACTGAAGTCTTACCTCTGTGGCAGTGAAAGAAAAAGGGGAGATCTCCCGCCGGGCAAGGTATTCTGCCCGGAGAACAGCCAACGCTTTGTATGGTAGTTCGCAGCTACTCTATATATGCTGCTTTCACTTCGACACTTTGATAGCACAATTTAGGCTTCCATGTGTTTCACTTGTGGTGCGACGACAGCGCCGTCACACCTCTGTCGTTGTGTTGTGGTGAGCGTTACTACCAGTGTACCAGTCCAGCCTTCTTGCTATAGTCTACAAGCCGGATGAGGTTGTGTGGCGGTGGTGCATCAACCTCATGTATATACACAGAGGCAAATACAATTCTCTGCAGTATAACAGCATGCACATCCCTAGAACAAAACGCTGTTGGTGGTTATGCACAGATGTAGCCCATTAAAAAGATACGTGTCTGAAGATTATCAAGATCTAGGTTGTAATAAATTTACCTCTCAAATTGAAGCGCCTAGCCATCAGCGTAATCGCGTATCGCGGTAATCACGGCAATGACCATGTGTTGTACCTGTAACCACTTCCACATTTGAGCCGTGGTGGTCTTACTGTGGTGGAGGTTTACCTGTAGTATTTTAATTTGGGATGAGGAGTATGCTTTTTCTGTTTGCATCCTCTTCCTCCTCACCAAAGAATATTGCGGCCAGCAGGTCCTGAGTTATGTCATCCTGACAGCTCCATGACAAGTTCAATACTACTGACTGCACAGTTCACATGGGCCCTTAATAGTTAGAATTTACAGTTATCTACCAATATACGGATATAAAAAATATTGCGCTTTACACATTACAGGGAAGATACTATGGCAACATAATGATGATATGTCGAATCCCGATGTGGAGCACGAAGCACGAGTGCCGAAGCGTATATTAAAATGTCGGGTGGTCTCACGCGAAATGAACTTTAGCTCCGTGGAGTCTATGGAACGGTTTCGTCTTGAACAGGTAAATGTTAATTGATCCTTTTGCAACGGTCATCTAGAAAAATACCACCAATGGTAATGACTAATTAACCCATTCACTGCCTTCCTAAGAAATAACAACATTACCCCCATGCCGCCTTATACTTTTATTCAGCCCGCCCATCGGCGGGCCGGCATCTCGATAAAGTATCTTGGCCCGCCCATCGGCGATTTTGGCATGAGGCCTTAGATTTCAACGTGAGATATTTTTAATGTCTAATTTACGACGAATCAAATGTATCTTAATCTGCGTATAAGATAGATTTAAGCACGAGCTTAGTACAAGGAAGTCTAAAATGAAATATAAAAGCATACATTTTAGGGCTTTTTTTCAAATCATGCGTAGTCAACCTTTTTGTATGTTTAATTTTTTTCCCACGTCATACCTCTTTTGCATTAATTTCTACCTGTGAACGAATATTTCGTTCACAGGTAGGACTTAGCAGAGGAGATCATAGATAAATAAATATGTAGCAAGCTAGAGCTAGGAGGAGATAGTCTACCTTCGATGCACTAAGTCAAAAAGCAAACGAACTTCCAAAACGCTTGGCAAAACTCAAGTTGTGAAAACCACGAACGTCAGATGCGAGTGATAGCTTTTTTCCGTAGACTATTTTTTTCTATAACATACTACTTACTTATGTTAAATCATAAATCATGCAAGTTGTAAAATTATCAGTGTCTATAACAAAAGGTATCGGCACTTCTTTTGTTTTCAAAGTGACTGTTACGGACCAGATCCTTTTGTTCAGATTTGCATTCTTATCTTGTTTCCTATTTACCGACAGTTAATGATCTCATCTGCATTAAACCACCATCCGAAATAGGTCATTAGCCAAAATTAAATCATAAATCATACCGAAAAATTGTATATGGACGGTGACCAAAACAAAGGTGTCGGCACTTTGTCCGTTTTCAAAGTGACGAATACCGATCGGCTCCTTTTATGTAGATTATCATCTGCATTCTTATCTTGCCTCCTAGATACCGACAGTATATTGCCTTATCTAGAAGGTGTTACAAAAAGCGGGTAATGCTCTTAGGAAGTGATTCTATTGCTCAAAAACAACAACTTCTTCTATGGGAACTATATCTAAATCTCAAAGAAAAAAAAATACTTCTCAACACAAACTCGTCTCAGCTGATCGGCGGTTTAGTATGGGGAAGCCAACTTTTTTAAGATTTCGATGTAGGTCCCATAGAAGAAGTTGTTGTGTTTGAGCAATAAAATCACTCCCTAAAAGGATTACCTGCTTTTTTGTAAAAACTTGTATATGGTTACGGTTTTATAGTTTTAATAATAAGGTGCAAGGAACAATAATGTTTATATTTTATTATCACTACATGTAAACATACTTTATTTTATAGTTTTTGATTAAAATTTTATGCATGACAGGTCAGAATTGTCCTTTTCTAAAATCTTAGATATCCGCAGGCCGTTTTGGTAACGAATCAATCATAATAAAACGAGTTATCAGACAAAATCTTATAATTTTTTCATGTTATTTGGCATACTTATTAAAGTTTGAAATCCGCCCGCCCAGGGGCGGGCTCGGCATGTGAATAAAATGGTTTGAAAGGCACTGAATGGGTTAAAAAAGTACAGTGTCTAAGTTAGAGATGGTTAATATATCTATTAACTGTTAAAATAAACAGTTAAAAATAATTAACAAATTTATTAAATAAATAAAATTAACCATAATGAATAAAATTATCATATTCCAGTCCATTCAAAACAATCCACGATCGATTTCTTACCTTACCAATTCATAATTTTATATTAAATTAGCCGGCTTTTGCGCCATCTAGCTTCTTCTTTACATACCACCTTGAGAGTTAATTAATTTTCGATCGATCAATGACTTTAACTCCTGTAGATTAGAGTAGATGGCGGTTTACAAAGTAATTCTATTCGAATGAAAATATTCCTTAAAATTTTGATATATTACATTAAAATTTAGGCTTCACGTGTCTAAAAATAAGCATTGTAATAATTGTTTGCTATAAAATTAAACTTATATCTCATATTTTATGCTGCACTTGTGGTTGAAAAATTATAATAAGTCATTTGCCGGTAAATATTTTGAAGTGATATTTTTATTAAATGGTACGTAATGATATTTTTAACACATAGATGTAACGCTATTGGCTGAATGCGTTAGTAGTGATGTTAGTTTTATACACTTTGTTGTTACGTTATTGGTTGAAATATTTAAACGAAGAAATCGTTTGCCGTTAAATATTTTAAAGTGATATTTTTATTAAGCCCCCACAAAATGATATTTTTAACAAATAGGGGTAACGCTATTGGCTGAATACGTTAGTCGTTGATGTTAATTTTAAGTACTTTGTTGTTACGCTATTGGCTGAATTATTGGTTTGAAAGCGCGTCAGTTTAATATTATTTTGTTTAGAGTTTACTTGTAGAGAGAAATTGTGTTCTGTGCTTTTCATCAAAAGTAATGCTATTTGGAATATTAATATATCAAGTGTTATGTAAAAAGTTGTAAAAATAAATATTAGGGAAGTTAGTTAAGATATAGTGACATTAGTTTTTTATTATTTTGTGTATTGTAAGATTTTATTTTAGTTTAAGTTAATTTCTACCTTTTATCATGCCGAGACGTCACACACAGCTGTGGGACCATTTTGAAAAATGTGTCGGAGGCGAAAAAGTTGCAACATGTAACTATTGTAAAAAAACTTTATCGTATAAGGGCTCAACCAGCAATCTAAAGACACATTTAAAATTAAAACATATTAGCGTGTATTCAAATTTAACGCTTGGAACAATTAGTGAAAGTGGTTACGGCGAAGGAATTTTGAGAACTGTTGTTACCGATGGTAATAGAAATGTTGTTGGGGATGATAGTGTACCTGGTGGTAGTAGCGTATGTGGAAATACTGGGGAAGGTGGTGGTATTGAAGATGGTGGTGGTGGTAATATCAGTGTTGCGGGTGTGGGTATTTCATCAGCTAATGAGCCGGCAAATAAGGTTCAACGCATGATGTCATCGTACCTACCCAAGAGACTTCGACCAGGAGATAAAAAAATGATTGATAAGTGTCTCATAAAATTAATAGCTTACGATTGTCAACCATTTTCAATCGTAGATGACCTTGGATTTAGAGATTTTGTACGTGCTTTAAATCCATCATATGAATTGCCAAGCAGGAAGTCAATATCTTCTTCAATGTTGCCAGCGTTTTATGAAGAACGAAGGCAATATTTTAAAAATTATGTTAAAGAAAACGCGGAAAGTGTATGTTTAACGGTTGACTGCTGGTCATCCAGAACTTTGGACCAGTATATGGGCGTTACAGCACACTTCTTTTCTAAGGAATTAGAAATTAAATCAATTTTATTGCAATGTGATCTTCTTGATGGGAACCATACGGGAGCAAGGATTGCACAAGAGTTAGAGGCAATAGGAGAAGAGTGGGAAATATCGCAAAAAATATTTTTTATTGTATCGGATAATGCCGCCAATATGTTAAGAGCGTGTACATTATTAAATTGGGACCATTTTGGCTGCTATGAACATAAATTGAATTTAGTTGTACAGGATGCCTTACACACAAATAAAGAAACCTTGGAGAAAGTAACTAAAACTGTGACTTTTTTTAAAAAGAGTTGTAATGCAAAAGAAAAATTACTAAAATATCAACTTAACAATCAAAATATTCCACAGCCTAAAACGGTCGTAAAAGCAGTTTCCAATAGGTGGAATTCTACTTTTTTAATGTTGGAAAGATTTCACGCCCTAAAGGAAGCCCTTCAAGCAACAATTGCGACAATGAATGTTTCGCTGCCTGTAATCCCTAACGAGGAATGGGAATGCATTGAGCAAATGTGCTGGGTTTTAAAACCTTTTTATGAAGTAAGCAATGTTATGAGCGGAGAAAACTACTTAACCGCGAGCACTGCCCTAGTGCTGTCTTCAAGTTTGATGTCCATATGTGACAATCTATCAGTTAGAAATTTGTACCCTCCCGTCCTCGCTATGTTATGCAAATTAAAGGAAGGATTGGTTCAAAGGCTTGGCGGTATTCATCATAATACGGCGATAGCAATGTGTACACTTTTAGATCCACGGTATAAATATATAGCGTTTTCGGACGATGTGGCTCTAACAAACACAAAAAGGCACGTGTTGACATTAATGCAAAATATACAGACAGACGACGATTTAAGTGCTACAGCGAGTGAAAATGAGCAAATTGGATCTCCAAAGCTATCAATATGGGGTGAATTTGATTTGAAAATCAAACGCTCAACTGCGCCTAAAACAGCCAGGACCAAAGCCATGGAGGAACTTGACATGTTTTTAAAAGAAACGGTTATTTCCAGGACAGCATGTCCATTGTCATGGTGGCGGACGCATAAATATATATACCCAGTTTTGTATCAAATTTTTAAAACTCGATGTAATATTATGGTCACTTCAGTTCCCTGTGAACGTGTTTTTTCGAAAGCTGGGTACATTATAAATGATCGAAGGACAAGACTAACCACGGCTAAAGTGGCACAAATAATGTTTCTGAACATTAATAAAATATAATAAATACGTAATCATGTCTAAAATAAAATAAAAATAATATTAAACGAAAAAATATAAAACATTTATATATGAAATGTAAATACTAGTAACCTAATAATCATTGTAAGTAATAAAAAAAATATTGTAAATTATTGTTTATTATTATATATACTATTAAAGTATGAAGAAATGTTTATTGAATAAAAATTTATGCGTAAAATGAAAGCAATAAAAGTAACACAACTGATTAAAAATAAAAATTCAATACAAAAGTAAGTAATATTTTTAACTGTTAATTTTATCTGTTAAAAAAAATTAACAAATAACTTTTAACAAATAAATAAATTTAACCATTAACGCCATGTCAGTGTTCGATTACCATATGAAAGAAGTATGTGCGTTTGTTCATGTGCAATTTGTGTAGCGCCACTAGCGCCCTCTAGTGTCGAATAGCAGAACTAGGAGAGTCAAGATCGTTTTAGAAATTTCGGAACCGATATGTACTCGAACATTCTAGATGTCGCAACAGTAGAAGGTTCTGGAAACTATCTGAGGCTTTATATAAGGCCGGTAGAGACCACGACCGAGGTAGTATTGAACTGGCGATACAAGAGAATACTTCGAAGCGAAACGACTGCGAACTTAAGTGATCAGTAGTATAATTGTGTTTTATAATTAGTGTGGTTTTAGATTGAAATTAGTGTTGTTAATTAAAGTGTCAATTTTGGTAATTCAATCGGCAGTTTTTAATTGTCTCGAACCCCAGCTCCTAACAGTTCTTTCCCCCATACACATGTCTAATTTTGTCACGACTACGGTTCTTACAGTGCCACAATTTGAAGGCGGATTCGATTCCCATAATGTTCATAATTTTTGGAAATGTTGTAGATATGTGTAATGCGTACGATATAACTTATTAGTATCTAAATATCTATATTTTTGACTTAAAAACTTAATCTAGCGTTTTTTTTTTTAAATAAATTAACCTACATTACTAAAAAAGATCAAACGTACAGACCTAGATTAAGGTGTACTGAATGTAACTAGACCAATATTTATAACAATATTTCAAAAAGGAAATGTAAACAATTGCCTCTAAGACTTGCAACTTCCTATATGGCACTATACGGCGATACGGAGCGAGCGGTATGAAACAGATAGCATTTTTTAAAATACCTACTCGTGTTATGTATCGGCACTTCACAATACTCTTAAAAAAAAGGGGCTGGTCGGTGTAATTTATATCTGACATTACAAATATGGTTATACTGCACTGTCGGTAGACTAATTAGATATTTCTGTCATTTATCATAGTTGTCTCTTACAATGCTCTCGGGAAGAAATAGGCTGATGGATTTTTTACGCCATTACCACACGGCAACTCGTAAGCTACAATGGCTAATCCGTTTTGTAACCACCATTTATATGTATTACGTTTATCAGTAATTTAACAATTATTTACAGAAAGTCCTTTTTAAAGGACGCTGCCTTGAGGAATGGTTCTTTGAGTTTGGATATGTTATATCTAACTCCACCAACACTTGGCAATCTATCATAGAGTCCGCGCCAGAGTCACAGATGATGCCTGCTAATGTGTTAAAGTGAGTATTGTTGTATTTCTTTTAAAAATGTAGTGAAACTATGGTGTGCTGAAATTTTGAAGTAGGTGTAGCGATCCAAAAAGCTAATATAATATACATTCAAAACTACAGTGATTAATTTTTGTGATTTGGATTGACACAAGCATGTTTCATTGACACGTGTTTCACTTGTATTTTAATTTATTAACTATAAAAACGGACTGGCTGCAACTCATGCCATTATGACTTAGTGATGAGTTACAGCGCTACGGGCCGTGGGTTCGAATCCCGCACGGAATAAAGTATTTGGATGTCCTACAATTAATTGTTCCAGGTCTAGATGTTTGTCCTTGTGAAATTTATGTATTAAAATACGTGGTAGAGCCATGCTGCAGCTGTATTATAGTTGTATAGTTGTAGCACGAATGGGTCGGCTCGATAGAGGAAGGATCACGCTCTCACTGAATAGCAGTGTCAAATACCAGCTTAGCGCTACTGTGTTTCGTATGGTTAGTATAGAGAACCAGAGACCCTTTTTACTGGAACCGAGGCATTCCATTGTAGTTCTCAGGAGTGATAACGCATCTGCATTTTCATTCTTAATCGAGGATAAATGTAGATGTTTATGGGCTACAGCATCCACTTACCATCAGGTGGACTGTGTGCTCGTTTGTTACTCTTATTCTGTAAAAAAAAAACGCGAACTTTGCTTGCTATGGCTGGCGAAGCGTCAAAAACAATTACAGCAAACAGCCTTTTAAATAATTCGTTTTCAAAACAAGTAGGTCAGAGTTTTCAGCATATCTTTTTTTAAATACATATTATTTTTAATTTTACTTCATTAAATTAAAAATAATAGTTTTGGTATTATTTAGTCAAGTGAAAAGGTATACCATCACTTCAACAAGTGCCTAACTGTGGGGAGACTTTGTGAGAAGAGGCGGCAAAAAAATCACAAGTGGACTATTTTTCTCGTAATAGATACAATTTTACAATACAAAAAAAATTTACAATTTTAAAATACATACATAAAAAATGTCTGCTCTATATTTTAAATAATCATTTCATTGATAATATTATCCTTTTGTTATAAGAATATTATTTGTAAGTGTCTTAAATTTATGCGAAGGTAAGAATCCCTATGATATTACTAATTTAGTAAAATCAAAGGAAATCTTGTTATAAATATATAGCATAATACATCTTCCAAACAAAAGCAAGCCCCTAGAAGTGACTTCATTTTGGTGGCAGACCTTTTATTTTGTGATGAACCATTTTAAGTGTAATATTAAAAAAGCGATTTTATTGCTCGTACCTATAATCATAACCTCAAAATAAAAATACTTAAATATTGCAGAGGCCACAAGATTTTATGGCCATTTCCTATAGACGATTCTTAAGATATCCATGGATGGAAGGGAGAAGAGAGATATTTTTTTATAAGATATGGATGACAAGCGATCACCCAGTTCACCTGATGGTATGTGGTTACTGTGGCCCATAGACATCTACATCTATCCTTGTTTGCGAATTAAAATGCAGATGCGTTGTCAGCCGTGAGGACTAAGATGGAATGCCTCTATTCCATTAAAAAGGGTCTCCGGTACTCTACACTCACCATACGAATTACAGCAGCGTTAATCTGCAATTTTACGCTGGTATTCTGTGAGAGCGTGGTCCTTCCCCGGTCGAGACGACCCATTCGTGCTACAATTATTACAATTAATGTAGCTGCAGCGTGGCTCTACCACGTATATATGGATTTAATAATAGATGTTTTGACAATTTCCTTTGTATATAAAATTAAAGTGACAAACAAACTTACAGTTCACCTGATTGTAAATGGCTGCTGTAGTCCATGGCCACATGCAACCAAATCCAAATAAAGAAGGCTGCAGTTACATTGTCACCTCTGAGGACTAAGATGGAATTCCTCACAGCCTGCAATTATGCTGGCTGCACTTTACTGAACACAGCAGTGCACACATTGCGGTTTTGCACCAGAACTAGGTAAGAAGTAGGCTTGCCAACTCCAAAAAAGGCATTTCCGGGATTACCCAGCTCGACATCCGGGACTTGGGTATATTACGCAGGACAGGAGGTGTGTTGTACACCAAATACAAATTGGTTAGAAAAAAAAACACATCGGTTATAAAATTCACTGCATTTTTGATCAAAATTAATGTTAATTTGTAGTTCAACCTTGACGTGGTCAACAAACAGCTTATTTCTGCTGTCTGTCCATGCATTTCCACAGAGAGAAAACACTCTCTCTGCTGATGCATTTGAAAGTGGTATCGAAGCTACAGCTAAGGTGTAGTTGGTACGAGATAGATACTAATATCATATAATCACTGATTTCCGGGACACAAGGCGTTCCGCAAGTGGTTACGGCGGGACGGTCCAAAATTGACCCAGAAGCGGGAAGTCCCGGAAAATCCGGGACGGTTGGCAAGCCTAGTAAGAAGCTACCTTAAAGAAACTAGTCCTAACCCTCCTTAAATTTTACCTAGAAATAATCTTAAAGCAGTTTAAAAATTAAAAGATTAATGTTTATTTTCAGCGGTAACATCGTCATCGAGACTAAGTTCTTCGATGGAGATCTGCTCATCACAACCTCGAAAGTGAGACTGTTCTATGTGTAAATTAATGTTGAGGTTAGTGAAACAAAATGTAAGCATTTAATGGATATAATCCATGATCTTGATGCATTTCTTTACCACCGATTTTCCTTATCTCGTGGATTTCTTTTGTCCAAAATGATTAATGCAATAGGGTAATATATTTCTGTCCGTACTACGTAATGTCACTTTCCACATGTCTTCACTCTTTAGAATGCACCAAAAATGCAAGTTAGGTAAGTATAAGTTTATTGATAAGAAACTCTTTATAATGTATTAATTAGTAATCATTGATTTTGTCCTATTCTATTTATAATTTTCAATTGTTGAAGTGAACGATTATAAGTGTTAGGAGTTGCGCAGTAAAAATTGGGACCACAAACACAAACCCAATCACGTTTTGATTAATTATTTCATCATCATTATCATTACATCCTATTACAAGTTCACGACGGGGGGGGGGGGGGGGATTTACTTTACTTACTGGTACGAAACCTTATTGAGTTTATCTCTCCTATCTCTTATAGTGTACGACCAAAGATCGATTTCTGGCCGAAGCCGAAACCAAAGCCGATTAATCGGCTATCGCCACAACCTACGACCGAAGCTGGAGAACCCTAAGAAATTCAGTTCAAGATTGGCTAAAATTAAAAATATAAATGACTTTAAAACAGTAGTAGTAGTAGTACAGGCAGTAATAAGAAAAGAAGGTAATTTTAATCTTTTATAGAAGTTGATCTGGAGATAATAAGAATTGCATTGCCACTTCCTAAGTCCTTTCGCATACGTAACAGCTCGTAACACTGCCTATTTATAGTATTTTCATTATTTATATTAATAAAAAAAGGTTAATATATGTACATCTGGTTTGTCCGTTCCCCCGCCACCACATCAACATATTTTTCCTATAAATTGTAAAATATAAAATTACAGTGTACGCGTGGAATTGGCAGCACGCGAACTTATATAGTAGATGCGGCATCACTTATACCCTATAAATGTAACCTCTACCACTCAACTGTGTGGGGCCAATTTTAAATGTCAATTATTATTTTAAGCTTATAATCGTTCACCGATGCACGTTTTTTTTAATCAAATAATATGCAAGGCATTTGACTGTGATTTAGTAAAATAATGAAAAAATTGAAGGTGGCAAATTGGAATGCATTTTATGATATTTAATGAGAACAGTCAATATTTTGATTTGATTTAATTTGTCTGTTGGATTTTAAAAATGGCAACATTGTTATAAAGCAGTTTAAAGAATGCATGAATGAAGTACTTATTAGATTTTACCATTTGCACCACTTATATCAACTGCATTGTTCTTGTATTGAAAATATGATTAGAGCATTTAAAAATTTAATGTATGACCTTTTATCTATTACATATTTGAATAAAGGCTAAACACAGTTAATAAATACATGGTTCACAGAAGGAAAAATTAAAAAGTAAGTAATATAAGAAAACATCGTGATACTACATTTCAAGCGTGGATACATTGAAAAATTTTGTGAAGAGGCGTTTGATTTTATAGGAATGTTGTGATAATTAGTATAAAGTGGTTAAAAAGCTGTTTAGTAACCAGTATAGTGATGTGATTAAGGGCCGATTTTTCAATCCATAGATAAAATTTATTCATATACTTTTCAGTTGTATGAATAAAATAGTTCGTGTCTCACTTATATATTCGGTCCGGCTATAATTTATTTGATGGATAACACAATTAAAAAATCAGCCCTAAACTTCTTAACTTTAACTGAAGTTTTATAACGATTACACGGAATTTCTAGTCAGAGGTATTCTTACAATTGTGTGTAATTGACACCATCATTAATTAATTATCACGTAATTATTTTTTATTACCATCCATAGTCTCAAAACGTCTTCGATTTTGGTTCGAGCGGGTCAAAAATCAAAATTCATGTTTTATTTATGCCGACTCACACAACACATGTTCAATCACATAGACTTGACTTAATTCAATACGCCGTTTTTCAATGCATTACAATCCTAAACGCTCCTCCACACACTTCTGATAAGCTGCAACTGTTCATACATGTTTTATAAATAAACTATCGTTTTAATAGCTTAAAAAAGTATTTCCTAATGTATTTACTAAGCTATTGTAGTTTACGCCTAAATGCCGTAGCCATCGTAAGCTTTTAAGCTTAATATTTTTTATTAATTAAATTGAATATTGTTTATGGATGTCTACCTGTCAACAACTACATTAAGATAACCTTGGAGCACTGAACAGCAATGCATTATAAGTTTAAAGTAATGGAATGAGATAAGGAAAGCATCGCGATTATTAAAGGCAAACAGAATTTAAAGGGCAAGCACTTATACAAGATTCCATCTAGACCCTGGTTTTTAGAATTTTATAAAGCAAACAAACATGTAAATTAAATTGTTTGTGGAGGGGTAGAATAATAAATACAGCCCGCTGACAGACAGACGTACGGACAGCGGAGGCTTACCCTTTTGGTTCCGTTGGTTACCCTTTTAGGTACGGAACCCTAAAAAATACCAACGTTCTGCCTAATATAAGCAGATAATAGTCGACCTTAAAATTATTGCAAGTTTCATACAATAACTGCTTTTATCTTAGGAAGTTTCATCATGTTGTAGACAAGTATTTCCATAAACAATACATTTATTGTTGAAGCTTGAAATTCAGCGATGGCTATGGCAAAAATGCGTAGACTGTAATTGATTGTAATAATTATTTCGAATCGAAAATCGCTTATGTAGTCACTTCTTACACTTTTAGATCCTAAGTTATCTATTAATATAACATGTTCAATTTTAAAGCAGTGTTTGTAAGAAACTTACCTAAACTACTGAAGGTGGGTTACTAGAGCTTAATAAAAAGGTGTAAAATTTATTATTGTCTTTGAATTATTTTAGCACTACCATTGTCTCTATGGATTTGCGGCTTCCTACTCAGTGTCATCAAAGGACGTCCGTTTGATAACTTTAGCTAATATCAATAGAAATTTTTTAATGTCAAAGTAGTTTAATTTTTGTTGTGTTCTAACATGATTTTTTAACTTCTTTAAATGAAAAGGGTTGTGTAAAATTTCCATTACTAAGAAAACACATACGTGTGTATAATGCACGTGTATGTTATATGTGAGTATTACTAGTCTGTAATAAATAATATATACAATGATTTTCTTTTATTCGCAAACTGCATCATCATCATCATTAACAAGTCCACTGCTGAACATAGGCCTCCCCCAAGGATTGCCACAAAGCACGGTCCTGAGCCACCTGCATCCATCGACTTCCTGCATATCTTACCAGGTCGTCACTCCATCTAGTGGGGGGGACGCCCTACACTTTGCCTGCCGGTACGAGGCTGCCACTCGAGAACCTTTTTTCCCCATCGGTTGTCGGCTCTTCGAGCTATATGGCATATATGGATACTTAATTAATAATAATAAGAGATAACCAAGTGATCCATAAAATTTGTTAGTAAATATAAAACTTATAACCTATGTTAGTACCTAAATCTAATTCTTAAATACAAGTGCCTTATTAACTAAACAGAGGCTATATTTCTTATGAAGAAATGAATCGTATTTTCCAGCAATTATTTTCATGATGGAGTTGGAGCTATTCCGCACCCCGCCAAGCAACGAGGCTGCTTTCTTTTTCATATAATGGCGTAACAGTCATATGTATGCGCCTTTGCAAACATGCCTGATGCACTGCAAAATCGGAGTAGCCCCAACAAGATTCTGAAGCCATTATTGTACTGGACACGTAATTACTTGTGCTACTACAGTGCATGTAACTTTCACTCGACTGCTCGAGAAGGGATATGTTTTTCGAGATTATACTAAAATATATTTGTATGTAACCATTATAAATCAGGGACTAAGCGCTCGCCATAACTTTCATTATACACGTATCACTCGGGTTCGAAGTTCGAACCCCGTCGCAACCAAAGTGCTAGTACTAGTTGCTAGGTGGTGAAGGAAAACGTGAGGAAATCTGCACGTTTGAGGAATAAAAAATATTTCAAAGATATGTGAAGTCACAGAGAAGCGAGAAAAATAAGCGACAGATCAAGTTCCGTAATCCTCAGAAATGAGAGGCCTATGCCTATTAATAGGACGTATATAGTAACTGTTACGGCACTCAGTTGCCCCGACAAAAGTCGACTGGACTAGGGCCCATAAGTAGACCAATCGACGAGCAACCCGAGGGTTCGGGCCCAATGGCCTATGGATAATTATTATAAAACGGCTGACAAGCAAACACAAACTTACCGAGTTCCGGAGGTAGGGTCGACCACACGGCGCATTCAGGTGGTAGGTGAGGCATATGTAAGTAGTGTGTGAAAGTGTGTAAATGTAACCTGACGTCCGATGTAATCCGAGAGCAGACCCACAGGCGTTGCTTTTCTCCACAATGTGCGATCACTCCAGTGGGCGTTCACTAATTGAAACTTTCAACTTTTATTTCACTACATTAGTTTATCAATTTCATTATACATTCAATCAACTTCAAATTTAACAAAATCAACGTTAATCGACATTAAAACAAGTGACACGCTGTACAACCAAAGAACGGTAGTCAAAGTTCAATGTTCCATGTTCACTTAGCAACAAATTATAATCGAGCAGAAACGCGATCTCCTCTCGAGTCACACATTTTTAGCGTTCCACTCGACAAAGCCAATGTCTTATAACGATATCAAAATGACACACAAACAACTCGTCGATGCAAATTAATGGCAATAGAAGTTATTTTAATCACTTAAAAACTCCTGAGATGCCTCGTTGCCACGTAAAAACGAACAAAAAGACAACTCAATTAGAGGCAGTCGTCACGCGACCAAACTATACGAGAGTTACTTCTAGACACTTACAACAAGGATTATAATAAAACAAGCCTCGTTGTCACGAGCTTAGACAACACAAAGGAGGCGGTTCCGAGCGTAAAAATTTGACCGTCTAATCGACACGGCGCCGCAAAACCAACTGATTGTTCTAGGCTATTGGGCGCGG